GGACAGGGGTGACTGACCCTCAGGGGTTCAGCCTGTTTCCTGGCTCCTGGCTGGTGCCCATGGCCGCCCTGACCTCCTCTGGGCTGGGCCACCCCCAGTCCAATGAGGAGGCTGAAGGTCACAGTCACAGATCTCATCACAACCTGGGAAGTGCGGTGGCCGTCCGCCCGGCCCTCCCCTGGGACTCAGCGCTCTATAGTGGCGCTCCGGACAGTGTGAGACCCAGATGGGAAACCAGGTGCCACACCTTCACTTCAGAGTGAGGTGGACAAATGTGATCACGTGATGCGGGGTCACATGACCAGAAACCCCTGTGATCCAGCCCAGTCTGGAAGCTGAGTCCTCAGAGAGAGAATGTGAAGAAAAGGGTCGGAAATTATCTCCTCTCTCTTCGGTCCTCAAGGGAGAAAAATCCGTGAATAACTTGGGAGAAATTTGCGCAGGAAAGAAAAATCCCAGTATCTTAGTTTCCAGAGGAGCCGTAAGGGCGGACTAGAACGGAGGGCTGAAGGCAAACCCATTTCTTCCGGGAGGACCACGTCCCGCGGTGCCGAGTCTCGGAGAGGCAGAGGAAGAAACCCTGTTTTATGTTCGTCAAGTCCATCGTGTCAGAGGCATTTCAGTGCCACGTGACTGCGTGGATTCGGCTCTGCGGATAGAGTGTCCGTGAAGGGTCCCGGGTCCCATTCCTGTCGAGGGCACGTGCCCCAGGGCGTGCAGGAGGCAGCTGATCAGTGATTCTCTCTCCTCATCGATGTTTCTCTCTCCCTCCCTCTCCCTTCCTCTGCGAAACCAATAAAAACATATTTAAAAATAAATAAATCAGTAAAAGGGCCTTCTCCGCTGCCTGGGGCTCTCCCCAACCCCCGGAAGCACCAACGTGCTGCTCCTTCCTTCCCGGACTCTGGCCGCTGCTGTGCTTGCCCCGCGCAGGCCTCCTGGGAGCGAGGTGGGAGGAGGGGGACCTGGGTGCTGAGCGGCCTGGGCAGCCATGTGGTGCTGAGCGGGCCCAGGTGTCTGGGAAGCTCTCCACTGGGCAATCACACGCCTGTCCCCTCATGTCTGCTAAGTGCCCATGGGGCCAAGCCTCAGAGTCCCCCCTTGGGCCCTGGGGAGACTTAGGGGAGGCCCTGCCCAGTCCCACCCCTCCTGGATACCACACCGGCCATTGGTTGGCACCAGGGCCTGGGAGGGGTTTTATTGGCCAGAAGAAGGAGCACATTTGCATAAGGAACGCTTTCCCCTGAGTCTGGGGGATAAGAGGACCTGCAGCCGGTGGGCCCAGCAGAGCTCCTGGGTGTCTGCACCATGGCCTGGCGTCCACTCTCCCTCCTCACCCTCCTCCTTCACTGCACAGGTCAGGACGGCCGCAGGGTCCTGGCTCCCAGCTCACTGAGACCCCTCCTCCCCCACACACATGCTGGGAGTGTCCTTCCCCATTGTCCTTCCTCCAGGACATCACGCGTGTCTGTGTTTCAGGGTCCCTGTCCCAGCCTGTGCTGACCCAGCCGCCGTCTGCCTCTGCCTCCCTGGGAGCCGTGGTCAAGCTCACCTGCACCCTGAGCCGGGAGCACAGCACCTACAATATTGGCTGGTATCAGCAGAGACCAGGACAGGCCCCTCGGTACATCATGTACCTTAAGAGCGACGGAAGCCACACCAAGGGGGACGGGATCCCCGATCGCTTCTCGGGCTCCAGCTCCGGGGCCGACCGCTACTTAACCATCTCCAGCCTCCAGTCTGAGGACGAGGCTGAGTACCTCTGCGGAGCATCTCATAGCATCGGAGTGCCGTTTGGGTAGCACAGTGGCTGAGAGCAAGGGGGAAGTGGGACAAAAACCGTTCTTGCGAACTTGCTGCAGATCATCGCACATGGGTGACAGAGAGGCGCTGTCCCGAGCCATTAGAAGCCTCGGATGTTTCTTCCTATTCCTCGCTGTCTACGGAGTCCTGCCATGTGCTCCCTGGGAAGTAGGTGACGAGGCTTCTATAAGGTCAATTGATTACTTAGGAATTTTTTTTGTTAAAAAATAAAGAAGAGAGAAGGTGATCCTGCCGAACCCCTGGTCCTGCTCAGGCCGTTCCATGGGGAGCAGGCACGTGCTCCCCTGCAGACGGACGCCTTCGTCCATGTGTATCTGGGGGCAGTGCCTCTGAATGGCCACTGTTAGAATGTAACTCACTTCACACCTCAGCGAAGGATTCAGACCCTAGAAACAGACTAACAATCCCATTCCCATTTCAGGGGAAAAGAGCGAGAGGGAGAGGGAGACCGAGGGGCAGGGGAGAGAAAGGTATGAAAGTGAGTGCTTTTTAGAATAAGTATTTTGTTATTGATTTCAGAGGCAAAGGGAGAGGGAGAGACAGAAACATCGATGATGAGAGAATCATGGGCTGGCTGCCTCCTGCACGCCCCCCACTGGGGATCGATGCCATCAACCTGGACCTGTGTCCTGACCAGGGATCGAACCGTGACCTCCTGGTTCATAGGTCAACGCTCAACCACTGAGCCACGCCGGCGGGGCTGATTTTTCCTGACACATCTCCACGTTTAGACCAGGGTCTCGGTGTGACAAATGCACCACAAACCCCACACCCAGCCGCACACCTGCTCCTCCTCCTGACCTCACCGGTGTCGGGGCATCCCTGAATCTCAGAGCTGCTGTCCTCCACCTGACACTTGGGCCATTGCTTCCACTCTCCCAGCCTGGGGTTCTGCCGGTCGCCTCCCTGCATCCTGACTCAGGACACGTGCATTTCCACACCCCGCCCCAGTTTTCTCTGCTGTCATTTATTCCAGCCTCCCCAGAATGTCCCCTTCAAGGTCTCCCTGTCCCGTTTCATCTTAGAACTTTCCACAGAGCTAAGTCTCTAACGTGCAGCACTGGCACAGGCACAGCTGGATTAAAAACGTCCCAGCACACAGGGCGTGGTCTCAGTGCAGCCGGACAAGCCATGGGCCCGCGCTGCCTGTCCCTACTGGAGCCAATTCAGCAGAGACAGGGAGGAATAATATGAGCATTGATTCCCATCCTGCCGGCAGCCTGGGAGAGCAGCGGGTCACCCACAGACACCTGCTCTGCCCCCCATAAGCCCGCTGCTTGTATTGGGGAGAAGGACAAGGAGTACAGGGGACGTTGGCAATGGGTGTGCCAAATGGGCAGTTCACAGGTAATGGGGCTGGAGATTCGCAAAGGCCTGTGGGTGTGCAAAGGCCTGTGGGTGTGCAAAGGCCTGTGGGTGTGCAAAGGCCTGTGGGTGTGCAAAGGCCTGTGGGTGTGCAAAGGCCTGTGGGTGTGCAAAGGCCTGTGGGTGTGCAAAGGCCTGTGGGTGTGCAAAGGCCTGTGGGTGTGCAAAGGCCTGTGGGTGTGCAAAGGCCTGTGGGTGTGCAAAGGCCTGTGGGTGTGCAAAGGCCTGTGGGTGTGCAAAGGCCTGTGGGTGTGCAAAGGCCTGTGGGTGTGCAAAGGCCTGTGGGTGTGCAAAGGCCTGTGGGTGTGCAAAGGCCTGTGGGTGTGCAAAGGCCTGTGGGTGTGCAAAGGCCTGTGGGTGTGCAAAGGCCTGTGGGTGTGCAAAGGCCTGTGGGTGTGCAAAGGCCTGTGGGTGTGCAAAGGCCTGTGGGTGTGCAAAGGCCTGTGGGTGTGCAAAGGCCTGTGGGTGTGCAAAGGCCTGTGGGTGTGCAAAGGCCTGTGGGTGTGCAAAGGCCTGTGGGTGTGCAAAGGCCTGTGGGTGTGCAAAGGCCTGTGGGTGTGCAAAGGCTCCTCTGAGCCCCCCGCAGGGACAGATCCTCTTTGCTCTCTGTTCCCTTCGCTGTGTCCTTAGCTGCACAGAGCGCCAGGCTCTCCTGGGTCAGGGTTCCTGTGCGCCCGAATCAGGGATGGTCACACCAAGGCTGCACCTGAGGGATGAGTCTCAGGTGCTGGAAGCACAGGACTCAATGACTTGGGTGAAGCAGGTTTTGGAGCAGGTTGGGGGTTAAGGGGCTCGCCTGGGACCAGCAGAGGGCGCCGCGAGACCGTGTATGAGGGTTTCTGCAAACCAGGGCCTCCCAGCTGGGCGGCCTTCCAGGGACCCCAGACCCCAGGGCTGGGCCCTTTGATTCTTATGAGAACTGGGCAGGCGTGTCGTCTCTGGGCCTGACCGAGTCCCCTGCACGTGGCTGTGTGTGGCCCCAGCAGCTGCTTCCTCCCAGCCCATCTGTGCCCCTGGGAGAAGGGCAGGGGGTGGGGCACATTTGCATGAGCAGCCCCTCCTCTGCGAAGCCAGCTGGGCGGGGATAAGAGGAGCCTGGAGCCTGGAGCAGCTCAGCCTCTGCTCTGAGGATCCAGGATCAGCTGTGAGCACCATGGCTTGGACCCCGGTGCTCCTCGTGCTCCTCGCTCACTGCACAGGTAGCCACAGGCCTCGGGGACCCGGAGCACCTGCCCCCTGAGCCTTCTATTCACTCCCATGTGTCTGTGTCTGCAGGGTCCCTCTCCCAGCCTGTGCTGACTCAGCCGCCCTCCCTCTCTGCATCTCCGGGAGCATCAGCCAGACTCACCTGCACCCTGAGCAGTGGCTCCAATGTTGGTGGATACACTATATACTGGTACCAGCAGAAGCCAGGGAGCCCTCCCCGGTACCTGCTGTACTACTACACAAGTACAAGCTTGGGAACTGGGGTCCCCAGCCGCTTCTCTGGATCCAAAGACACGTCGGCCAATGCGGGGCTCCTGCTCATCTCGGGGCTGCAGCCTGAGGACGAGGCCGACTATTACTGTCAGGTGTACCACAGTAGTGCTAAGCACAGTGACACACACAGACGGGGAAGTGCGACAAAAACCTCGGCCTCCTTGCTCCAGGCTCCTGACACATCTACTGAGGCAGGAAATGTCTGACTGGTAACCACAGGCCTAAGCCCCGGGGTTTGTGGTTGAAGTGATGCTGGGAGCGTAGGTACTAAATATCCACAAAGGAAGAGAGTGAAGGGGACAGACACTGTTAAGCACAGTACACGCGGGAGCAGAGCCGCCTGCTTCCCTAGGAAGGTACTGCCTCACACCCTCCAGGGAACCCCTGGTCCGTTCCCGCAGATCAGGGGGAAGGGATAGGACAACGAAGGGGGCGGCGAGCCCATGAGCTGCAGGAGCCAGGATGGCACAGAGAGGCCGGTCAGGCCACCTGGGAAAGGATCAGACGGGAAGGGACGCAATCCCAGAAGATCCAAGAAATAGGTTGGTTCCGGTGGACCCTCCAGCAGCCCAGGGAGCTTAGGAAATGGACTGGTTAGTTGGCAAAGGGCCCCTGGTCCTTCCCAAAGCGGAGATAATATAATCAGCTAAACAAAGGATCTCGATCTCTCTCTCTCTTTCTCTCTCCCCCCCTCTGTCTCTGTAACAGCCCCTTGCCCTGTGCACTCACTCACACATTCTCTCTGAAGCAGGGATGTTGGTGTAGCAGCCGCCTGGGGCCCACGGACCACCGGGCTCCAAGGGCTGAGCTTTCATAAGGCGCAGGGTCTCTGGGCATTGGCCCCATTTCTGGCCCCGATGAGGACAGATTGTACTTTCCCACGGGGAACGGACAGATATGGGACGCTGGCTCCTGGGTCAGCCAGCTGACACCACGCCACAGCCCCCCGCCCTGGGTCCTGGGATGCTTTCCCTGAGACTCTGTGAAAGAACAGTTTCCACTGGCAAGGATTCCGCACTGTGACTCTTCCCCCTTTCAGTGTGAAAGGCGCATGATGACTCTTAAACGTTAAGATGAACTAAAATGTGTGCCGATATGACAACGACAATGCCCGTGAAACACAGGCGGAACTGACAACATATTTTCCATAGTAGCAAACCAATGGGACAGAAGGTGAAGTCCACCCGCATGACAATCAGAGGCCCCGATATTTCTTAGGAAAGTTCAGGCTTCACCACCCTCGTGTGTGTGTGTGTGTGTGTGTGTGTGTGTGTGTATGTCTCTGTGTGTGTGTCTGTGTCTGTGTGTGTGTGTGTGTCTGTGTACATGTGTGAGTGTGCCTTTGTGTGTGTGTGTGTGTGTGTGTTGTGTCTGTGTGTGTGTGTGTGGCAGAGAGTAACCAGGGGATTCTATGATCCTGTGATTACAGCCTCCAGGCCTTGGCTTGTTTCTCCAAAGGACAAAGCTAACCACAGAGAGAATCTACCTTCTGGCCTGTCGTTCCTATAAGAATAAGATTTCATGGAGCCCGACCACCATGGTTCAGTGGTTGAGCATCGACCTATGAACTAGGAGGTCAGGGTTCATTCCCAGTCAGGGCACATGCCCGGGTTGCAGGCTCCATCCCTAGTGTGGGGCATGTTGGAGGCCCGGGGAAGGTCCTAGTAGCTGCCTCCTCCCTCATGTCTCCCAGGGGGACACTCTGAGACTCACCCTAGAGCTCTAGTCTGTCTAACAGCCCAGCTCAGGCTTAGGGGGCGGCCAGTGTGTTACAGGTTCTCCAGGAAGGAAACAAATTTGTGTGCGCGGCCCCTCCCCTTGGAGGCCCGTGAAGAAGATAAGAGAGGCCTGGACCAGGGGCTGCAGCTCAGGTCGCAGCCCGGCTGCTGGCACCATGGCCTGGACTCCTCTCCTCCTCCTGCTCCTCGCTCACTGCACAGGTAGGCACAGGCCTGGGGGCCAGGGGCATCCCTGCTGCACTCCCGCCTCGCTCAGAAGCCTGGGAAGTGTCCCCGTTTCTCACCTTATCACCCACGAGTGTCTGTGTCTGCAGGGTCCCTGTCCCAGCCTGTGCTGACTCAGCCGCCCTCCCTCTCTGCATCTCCGGGAGCATCAGCCAGACTCACCTGCACCCTGAGCAGTGGCTACAATGTTGGTGGATACAGGATATACTGGTACCAGCAGAAGCCAGGGAACCCTCCCCGGTACCTCCTGAACTACTACACAAGTACAAGCTTGGGAACTGGGGTCCCCAGCCGCTTCTCTGGATCCAAAGACACGTCGGCCAATGCGGGGCTCCTGCTCATCTCGGGGCTGCAGCCTGAGGACGAGGCCGACTATTACTGTCAGGTGTATGAAAGTAGTGCTAAGCACAGTGACACACACAGACGGGGAAGTGCGACAAAAACCTCGGCCTCCTTGCTCCAGGCTCCTGACACATCTACTGAGGCAGGAAATGCCTGACTGGTAACCACAGGCCTAAGCCCCGGGGTTTGTGGCTTAAGTGATGCTGGGAGCGTAGGTGCTAAATATCCACAAAGGAAGAGAGTGAAGGGGACAGACACTGTTAAGCACAGTACACGCGGGAGCAGAGCCGCCTGCTTCCCTAGGAAGTTTCCGCCTCACACCCTCCAGGGAACTCCTGGTCTGTTCCCGCAGATCAGGGGGGAGGGATAGGACAACAAAGGGGGCGGCAAGTACATGGCCTGCAGGAGCCAGGATGGCACAGGGAGGCCGGTCAGGCCACCTGGGAAAGGATCAGACGGGAAGGGACGCAATCCCAGAAGATCCAAGAAATAGGTTGGTTCCGGTGGACCCTCCAGCAGCCCAGGGAGCTTAGGAAATTGACTGGTTAGTTTGCAAAGGGCCCCTGGTCCTTCCCAAAGCGGAAATAATACATGATGCAATCAGCTAAGCAAACAAGTGCCCCCTCTTGCCCTGTGCACTCACTCACACATTCTCTCTGAAGCAGGGATGTTGGTGTAGCAGCCGCCTGGGGCCCACGGACCACCGGGCTCCAAGGGCTGAGCTTTCATAAGGCGCAGGGTCTCTGGGCATTGGCCCCATTTCTGGCCCCGATGAGGACAGATTGGACTTTCTATGGGGGAGTGGACGGAGGTGGGACGCTGGGAACCTGGGTCAGCCAGCTGACGCTCACCACGCCACAGCCCCCTGGCCCTCAGTCTCTGGGATGCTTTCCTGAGACCCTGTGAAAGAACAGTTTCCACTGGCAAGGATTCCGCACTGTGACTCTTCCCCCTTTCAGTGTGAAATATTCATGATGACTCTTTAAAGTTAAGACGAACTAAAATTAATGCCAATATGACAATGACAGTCAAATACAGGCAGAACAGAGACACCTTTTCAACAGTAACATCCCAATGGGACAGAAGGTGAAGTCCATCCACATGAGAATCCAGAGGCCCTGATATTTCTTAGGAAAGATCAGCCTTCACCACCGTGTTTGTGTGTGTGTGTGTGTGTATGTATGTGTGTGTGTATGTGTGTGTGTGTATGTATGTGTGTGTGTATGTGTGTGTGTGT